TTTGAGACTGAATATTTCTAGAAATATTATAAAAATAAAAAATAAATATTTAATCATTTTTAAATAAATTTATTTATTAATATTTTTCATACTTTATCAACGAATGGATATTTAATACTGAGTTGACTAAATAGGTACTGATTTATTWTCGCATGAAATATAATCATTTGAAGATTTTAGATGATTTCAAATTGTATTTTTGATTTGTTATCACATGAAATTGTATTCTAAGCCAGACTACTTATTTAACTTTGTTATTTTTTAATTTTTAACAAATAAATTAAGACCTAAAATCTACATTAGTAAATTTATTATTCTTTTCTGTAAACATCCAAACAAACAAAATTTAATTACATTAACTATATACTATTCTCATTCCAAAACACACCATCAAGAATTTAAAATTATTTTTTCCGATTTCGAATCGCATGATTCCAAATCATTTCTTGAAATCTTTTTAATGCCGAATTGAGGTTATAGACATAATTATTTTATAAAATCTTAAAAGACGACGTGAGGTTATTAGGCAGCACTAAATTTATAATTTGCCAATTGACATCTTTTTCAGGAAAAAATAATCATTCCAGCCTATTTACTTTCAAAACGTTGATTTTTAACTTTTTTTTTTTTTTAAGCAATAATTTTAGGTCATATATTTTTAATTCTGGTTCTGTTTTAGTATTTGTATTTTCAAAACATATATGTTAGTCTCTATTTATAAATTTGTATACACAATGGAAATTCATTAATACAAATTTATGATTATAATTCAAAAAAATTAGTGAATATAGTGTCATACTAAAATTATACTTAAAAAGAGATAACAATGCAAATAAAAAGACTAATTTCATCACTTTTAAAAAATACAAGTACCAAAATAATCATTTTGAAAATATATAACGAACAAAAGACCAAAATAAATAACCAAAACCAACCAAAGTCGAAAGCATTGGAATCAAAATAATATTTAAATGGTTTGTGCTACTCTAAATTATCTAAATAAAAACCACATCAATCTAATTGTTGGTCTCTAGAAAATAATAACAATAATAGAGGTTTCTACTCCTCAATGAATTGTTTATTAACAACTCCATTTTGAAATGCTCAATAAAGATAAGGTCTACATTAAAATAACATCCTTCCACATAAGCCCACTTGACAGTTTGACAAGTCTATATGTATAAATTACATCTAGTGAAAGTAAAATTTTTCAAAGAATTAGAATTAGATAATAAATAATGTAGGATCAATGTCTTCTATTTGATGTGATAATGAAACCATGTTCTTCAAAAAAATGCTGGCTTCAGTTAAAAAACACAATACAAATTTCATAGAAAACCAAGAATTCTGGTATAAGATAAGTTATACAAGCACAACCATATATTTTCTTTAATAACTCAATGTAAACATTCCTTAAGCACAAAAAAGAATAAATTCAAGTGATAGACTAGACCAACCTTTTACTATGACTCTGGATGCATTGCAAAATTTACATCCACCAAAAGAAAAAAAAAAAAAAAAAAAAAAAAAAGCCCTTTTTGCTAAGCCACTTCACACCCAATAAACAGTGAAGAACAGACTATGGAAATAAATTATTCGAACTATGGAGGGAAAAAATATAATAGAGAACATACTGTAAAAACAAATGGGTCGAAACAAAAACCGGTACTGTCTCCATGAGGAGAAGGAAAATGGCACCCCGAGAGCCAACGAGCGATCTGTATGAAAGAGCATCGACTTTACTGTAAGAGGAACGGCCTAAAAGCTTGTGGAAATCGAGAATCAAAGCGAGATGGAGATATTTGAACATACCTGGTAGGGAACCTTCTCATCTTACAGAGTTCATTCACCTATATGGGAAAGAAAGCTTGTTGAAAGAACAAGTTGAAGGAGGAAGAGGAAACGCTATCTCAATCAATTGTCAGCTTTTTGGGGCATATGCAGCTAAGGCATTTGCTTGAGCAGGTGGGAGACCGCTCAAGAATGGTTGCATTTGTTGGCCATAGAGTGAAAGTAGATGTGAGAAAGCTCTGCCTACTTGAGCTTTAACTTCCGACGTTTCGATTGGAGATGCCACGACATGAGCAAATATTTTAACCAACTCCGGAGCAAGAGAAAGGATCTGTGATTGGCACACAAATTAGCAGAATTATAAGCATCCAGATTTTTCACAAACACCGTTGGATCTTTGTCATTTTTTCCTTTCTTATTTGATCATCGCTCCAAAAATTACTTCTCTCTTTTCCTCACTTCCATGTTTCATCCCTCTCTTAACTTTCACAATTAGGCGTCAAGGAACAATTAAGTGCTTGAATTCCTTCCCCATTTTGTTATGTTTTCATCATTCCAATACAAATATTGATTTGGTTCGTGTAGTATAGATCAAGTAAAAAAGGTTTATCAACACTTCCCATATGTTGGATACTTGGAGAGGGTAAATGTTGGTAAAATTACAACGAAAAGGAATATCTTTTCACCCGTCACTTTTGGATCCCGATTTTTCTGTTTGGGGATGGTCTATATATAATGGCAATTCAACAATGGAAGGTATTCCGGTAACATTCACAGAATCAAATGTTAATTTCCCCTTTATCTTTACAACGTAATAGGGTGGGGGTGTCTAAATTCCTGGATTATTTCCCACAACAGAATCATGCCTTCATAATAAATTTTTTCCTAAAAGGGAGAAAAATGAAAAATTCATGCTAAATACCAACAGAATAAATACCTGAGGATTAGATGACAAAACAAGAGTAGTGACACAACCATAGACGGACATGGACTCCTCGTGATCTTCTTTTAAAGGTAGAGCTTTCAAAAATACTTCGAGGACCTAGATAACAAAATCAAAATAAAACAGTAAAAACCGGGATCTTAAAAAGTAACAGGAACTAAACATTGGGGGAGGGGGGTAACCTGATTCAATGGGACGGCTTCAGGGTGCACCATTATCATTCTTGCGACTGCACCAGCTGCATTATCCCTAACAGCATTGTCTGGCTCAGAGTCCCCAAATAGTGGGTAGAGACCTTGAAATATAGCATTATAATATCTGATATTGATTAAGAAAAAGGGTGTAGATGAATGCAAAGTTCAAATCGAAAAGTTAACTGTGAAAATATATGTATGATTCAGTACAATATTAGATTCCCGGGCAGGCCACACAACAGTTCTAATACCATTGAAATGATATAGAAGATATTAATGGAAATGAAAGTAAATAAACAAATATAATTGCATGGACAAGGATACTTCAAAGTAGACTCGCCCCCATTCTTGCAGAACTCTCCAACACAAAATGCAGCATTCCTTCTATTAGTTGCCTCTGATGATGCCAATTCTTTGAGAACCAAAGGCATTACTCTCTGAAAGTTGTGCATCACAGTAGTAACAAGTCACTCGAAATGTCCTCAACCATTTACATGATAATCACTCCACAGTATAAAGGGCAA